TCCCCCCCCAGAACGTGACCTTTGAGGGAGATGCTGCTGGACACACCAGTCCTTGCCCAGGACAGGGACCATAAATTAGAGGCCCCATAAAGCCCAGCTTTGCAGGCAATGCCAGCTCTGCTCTCCTGAGAAACCAGAGCCACTGGGGAAATTCATTGCACAGCTCCCAAAGGCACACGGGATTTAAATGGGGACACTGAGGGAGAATATTGTAGCAAAGATGTTCAGAGAACTGTGAGAAATCAACAGTCACCTTTGGAGCTCCTGAGACAGTATCACAACATCTTAACCTGACACAAAATCCAATTTCACTCTACATCTTTCATCATTCTTGAATTGCCCAAGTACAGTGCCTGCAATTCTCACAGCCTGGCCCTGGGGACTGAAGACTTCTGGGGGTTATTTAATTTCTAATAATTTTCTACTATTTTATTATTATTTTAATTTCATTTTCTAATATTGCAATATTACTTTAATGTATAATCCTAGTTTTCTAATAGATCTAATATATACACTTTATCTCGTGTAACTAGCCACTATTTCAGGCTTTGTCCTTCCTTTTGTCACTGTTTGACAACTAATTGCTGGAAGTTGCTGCGAATTTAAAAATAAAGGGTTACAACTGCTCTGTCTCTAACCAAGGCACTGACTCTGCAAAGCTCCAGTGTGCTACAACTGCTTTTCGTTCAAAGCAAAGTGTTTTAAAAAGCAACTTCCCCCCTTCATTTCACAAGTCCCTGAAGTTTTCTAAAGCAGAACAAATTCAAGTTCCTAACTGGGGAGAGACTGAAACCAGGCAGCGCCTCCAGCCCCTTGGAAAAACTCACATTTCCATCCCACACCAGAGGGAGGACACTGAGGATGCTTTTTGCAAAGCAAAAGCTGGAAGAAAAGAAAGCTGGAGAGACAGTTGGTCCAGAGGAAAGGCTGTGGAGAGGGATGAATCCCTGGATTATTTTCTCTTACCAGGTCACGCTCTGCTGTTTGTCCACACAAAAGGCTGAGGAGTCCTCCAGAAGGATTAGAGTTTTTCCTTCAGTTCCTGCTTCAGATGCAAGTGATTCCTGATCTCCTAAAGCCAAGGACGAGGGGGAGTGAGTGAAGGAAGCAGCCACACCTGCATCCTGTGCCCCCGGATCCTCCCACCTCCCAGGAGGATGCCCAGCAGGATCCCTCAGTGCCTCCCACCCTTCGAGTCCTCCCCACACCCTCGGGAACGTGGATTCTCCTCCTCTCTCTGCGTTTTCCTTCCTTAACAGCACAAACAGCCCCTCCCAACCACCCTGTAAAGAGGATTCAGTGCTAGGGAAAAAAAGGAAAGAGCAGCTCCAGTGTGGTGTCACAAAGCTGAGCTCATCACTCACATCCCACGGGAGAGCAACTTCATATCCTCTGGCAGGTAGAGGAACTCAGGGATGAAGAGAAATCACAGCTTTCTGCTCTCCAGCTCAACAGAAACACTCCAGTTAAACCTGCACACACAGACCTGTTCTGGCTCAGATATCCTCCTGATTTCATGCATTTGTTCTATAACTTGCCCTGGCATTTTTCCCCCACGACATCAAGGCCATCATTCCCTTGCTGGGGGTCCAGGTCAGGCAGCATCGTGGCCAGAATTTGTGCAGCGTTCACTCCCAGAGAACAGAGATTCAGGCTGGGGAGAAAGAATGCCAGTGGTTTAGATGGAGATGGAGTTCTGTGTTCCAGTACAAAGCTCTTCATCTGACCAAGCTGGGCTGATAGCCCAGACTGGAAAGGCTCCAGATGGGACTCCCATAAACCAACACAACAGTGGTGCAGTTCAAACTACATCAACATTATTCCAAAACTGACCAGTTTTTCAAAGCTGAGCCTCTCGAGTTTTCACTTTGCAGGTGAACATTCCTTTAGTTTCAAACCAATGCTAAGGGCTAAACTGAATTCAGACCAGAAACTTTTCTGAGAGCTTTTATTTCA